GCAGAGGCTGTTAGTTTGTGTTTACAAGAGTTAAGGAAGGAGATGAGCAGCTATAAAAGAGAGCTAAAGTGAGGTGTTAGATATGTTTTTTGTGATATGTTGTGAGATCAATAAAACACAGTTCATTCGGCCAGTTTGATTGCAATTCATAATTAAATTGCATCAAAAAAGTGATATATTAAAGAAACGTTAGAAAGAAAAAGGAGATTCCTCATAAAATCGATCAATAAAAAAATGCAAAATAAAATCGATCAATAAAGAAAATAAAAAAGTATAATTACCACTTTACCATCACTCAATTGATTTTTGCCAATCAAATTTACCCTCAATCGTAACCTTGCATATCTACATATAATAGCACACAAAGAATGTAGGAAATCATAAATCACACGTTTAGTTGAAAAGGATGTTAAAATAGATTCCTTATGGAAAACATACTTCTCAAAATACCTACCATATATATGGAATCAAACATGTATAGCGCAAAAGAACCAAACATGGATAAGGAAAGTTTCATAAAATCACCAGCAAATAAAAGATTAAAACAACAATTATCAACTGTCATATAGCTATTGCATTAGTAATTTTATGCTCCCATAATTGCATATCACAAACAATGGAAGAGGGGGTAACAATATGAAAAGAGAGCAAATTCATTTTTTCAGAGTGGACCTGTGAACTATGCCAATATGGCATGAAGCTCCAAAGTCTAAGGACCGATAGAAGCAATGGCAAAATGAGGCCGAATTGGCTTCGATAGTGCTTTGTTAAACACTTCTTCTACAGCAACCTAACGATAATTGGGAGATAAAAATGAAAATTGTTGAATGGCAGGGTTCCGAATATAATTTACAATTGATACAAAAATTAGGGCTTACATGGAGAGAACAAGCGGAGGAGAGTTTGGGGCGACAAAGGACGTGATCGCAAACGAGGTTCCAAGAGCGGCTAACGCAAGCGGCGGAGGCGAATGAAAAGGCCGGAAGTATGGCGACTACATACAAACTCATAGAAAACTCAAGAACCCTAACCGATAAAAGTGAACATTTCAATAGGAATCAACACACAAAAACAAATAATTCGAGTGCTAACCCATAGAAAACTCAAAAACCCTAACCAATCAAATGAAGATGGAAAACAAAAATATTACCTGGATTGGAACCCTAGCCATATTTGAAGCATGGATCGAGAGCGCATCGTCACTTTAGGAGGGAATCGATGAGAGTGTGTAGAGAGATTACACGGTGATCTTGAATAAGTAATCATCATAAGGGAGCATGAATCGTCAATTTTTGAATCGAATTTCTAAAGCATCTTGATGACAGTGTATGGAGCGATGAGAGCTTCTCTTGGGAAGATAATCTTCTTCACAAGCTTGTCTTAGGAAGATAATTTTCTTTTAGAGGAGTGTGAAGGTAGCATTAGTAACTTATACATTAGGTATAAATTATTGTTTTTAAGACTCAATGCATAAAAAGGTAGTACTTTATGCATCAAAACTTGTTTTTAAGACTTTTAAGACTTAATGCATAAAAAGATAGTAATTATGCATCAAAACTTGTTTTTAAGACTTTTAAGACTTAATGCATAAAAAGATAGTAATTATGCATCAAAACTTGTTTTTAAGACTTTTACCAAATCTCATTTATAAGGTAGTATCAATAGATAATATTGACCATCAATTTTATTGTTTAAATGATATGATAATATGTTCTAATTTTGGTGTTTTACACAAAACAGGGTTTAACATGAATACGAGATTACTATTGGATGATTTAGATCGTTAGTAACACAGACAAACACGAGTTCTTAAAATGTGTATTTCATGTGTGGCTCACACCCAATGGAACCAAATTATATGAAGAATATATGGTGATTTGGTCATCCATAATATAAGGATTCTTAAAGCATCTCTAACAGTTTTGTTAAAATGAAGAAAGTGATATTTGAGCAGTTTTTACTCCAACAGTAATGTTATAATGTATACTATAATAAAGAAAAGAAAGGAGAATGTGTAAATCTCCAAATTTAAAGAAATCTTTAGAACTTCATATTATCAGAGATAGATAATATTTAATCCCCCTCCCCTCCAAACCCCAACCCCAACCAATTGGAGACTTAAATTAAGTGTTTAGAAGAAATAAATAACATTTCAACAATATAATAAATGATGAACTTGTTAAATCGAGTTATTTTGAGGTTGGATATAAATTCTTTTAGAGATTGTAACTTTCAATACTCTATTTTAAAAAAATTATAGCATAACTGCCAGAGATGTTGGTATCAGATCTCAAGATATGAAATATATTATGAACCCATGTGTATATTTTATTGAATAACTAGAAGGGTACTCGTGCAATGGATCAAGATACATCTTGATTTCAGTATTTCATTTTATTCCTTTTTATGTCGATATAATACGGTTTTATGTGATTTTGAGAAGACAAAATATCTTTATTTTTGAACAAGATATAAATTTAAAAATATTATAAAATTTCGAAAAAAAAATACTGATATCAGCATCAAATTGATCTTTTTAAAAGTTCTTGTGTTTTGATGTAATTTTCTTAATTCAATTTTTTTATTATAATTTAATTTAGGTTTAGTAACAAAAATTTAATTTAGGTTTAATAATATAATTTTTTTATAAAAATAATAATTAAAGTATTTTGTTAGAACTCAATGATTATCTTAATTATATTTTAAATTTTTTATATTTAAAATGAGATGTTTATCCAATATTTGATTATTTTTATCTGCAGTTAGTTATACGAATTCAAATATGGAGCTTTAATAAGTTGTACTTATGCAAAATTTACTTGTAATCATAAATCTTAAGTAATATACATCAACAACGATATTTCGTACATAAAAAATAGTTTTTAAAAGTTTTTGTCAAATGCTTTATGATATAGTATAAATATTCAAATATGTGAATCCATGATTAAGAGCTTTTATTTATATGTAAACGAACCATTAACTAATTATTATTTTTTTTTTTTTGTTTAAATTGAATCTTATGAATATCGTAAATTATCAATTTCCTAAAAGAACCACCCCCACACACATGTAGAGAGGAAATACTTTTAATTGTTATTATGTCTTACCTTCCTTTTCTTCCATATTTGAGTGAAAAATCACTACTATTAGCATTTTTCCTTCTCTTCTAAATATTTAGAGAAGAGGTCTATTCTTCCGTCTCCCTTTTCTTCGTAAAAGAAGAGTGAGTAAACAATGTTTTGTTATATTTATTTGACATTAGACAAACCGACCATGTTGAAATCAAGGCAAACGATTTAGTTATCACCAGCTAGCAATCATTTTCTCCATTAACAACTTGATGAGAGGGAAAAGGCTATCCATGAAGTAATTGGCCCCTCTCTTATAAATTCAATTCCCATTTTTTTGGTCGTATATGAGATCAGAATTAGGCAGGCCCAAAGTGAAAATATATTTCACTATCCCGCTCGTGCCACGCTTTCCCACTGCCACCACTTGAACCAGGCTCTTGTCTAAAAAACTCCAAACTGCAAAACCCACCATACATTAGTAGTTGGCATCAATCTTCAATCCAAGTCGAATGACCCACCAAAATATCATCTATTTTACATTTAATAGCTACCTCCTTCGACTCCTCATGATATTTCTAATGACTCCTGCAAAAAACAACTGATTTAAGTAAATTGTCAATAGCAATCTGTTGGTTGATATGATCTAGTGCACTAAGATTTGATTTACCAAATGATTGCTAAGGCAGTTATAGACAAGAGTTACTAAGCTCACTCATCTTGTCGAGTAACATTTTCGGCCATCGAAATTGATTGTATCTAGGTGTATCTTACTAGGCATGTAACCTAGCAAGAGTATTTTCCCTCCCTTACCGTGTAAGAACTAAGAACATCAATTGTTGCCATGTTCCATAAGGTTAAAATTCTCGTCTATTGTCATGATCACCCGGTAAGCATTTCACAAACAACTCCTAAGTTAAAATATATTACAACCATTATATCATAGTAAAAGTTCGTGCTCGCACATTTGTTTCATTTATAATTGATCAAAATAACGAATCTCCTTAACCAAATTCATTTCAACCACTTTTTTCAATCAAATTCCCATTTTCAGAGTTCACAACGCATTTACGTGAACTTGATTTCCATATTATATGAAATTGCGCAATTTACGTAAAATACTTGCATAATATGCGTAAAGATTTTTTTCTCTTTTTTCATTTTGAAAGTAAGTTTTAAGCGAATACACAATACATTTATATAAACTCTAACTAAAATAAAATTTCGGTTTTATAACAATGGCTAAAAAGTGGATATGATTGAAAAAATTGGCTATTTTGATCGATTTCTTTGTTCCATCCATTATTTCTATCTTCATGTATTGACTACCGTCTACCAAATGAAAGAAAATTTGCAACAAATGTAATTATTTACCTCTTAATCATTATGCTCTTTATCACGCAGGTATCGATCTTGTATAGACGCTTGTTTCCAAATGAACACTAACGCTTTAAGCTATACCTGCAAGCAGCTTTGTTAACTCCCTCCATGGAAATGGCAAGTAAATGGATTTGTCCTGAACCTGCAATAACTGCTATAATTAAATTAACAATCTATTAATTCTTCGTATAATTTTTGAATTGGAAAAAAAAAAGGAAAACAGGAAGATTATCACGGAAAGAAAACAAACCAGACAAGAACAATTACGATGAGAGCAAACGCCGCCGGTAAGCAACCATACGAACGCACAACACGTATACGTGGAGATGATGTAAAAGAAACAGAAGATAAGGATCAATCCCGCACGCAACTAGACAAAATCTGATCACCACCAGAAAACGACAAAGTGAGCCCGATGGTCGGAATTAATGAGCACCGATCAGATCAGATGAGGGTGCGGAGGCGACAAGCAACGGCCATTAACGGAGTAAATCGACGAAGAAGATAATCGAAATAAGATGAAAACTGACGATGCATTTACTAACAAGGAAATTTGGACCGAACTTAAGATTTCTTCTTTCCATTCATTGCCACTGAAAGGATCGTAGAAAACACAGATCCGAATCTTAAATTATTTACAGTCCAATCATACATCTCATATCTTTCACCTTCATTTGCTTGTTTTTGATTTTCCTCCTTATATTACCGTTGTGTACTACTCTTGTTTTGCCTCTATTAGTATTAGATGTGTTGATTTGGTTGTTTAGATATCATCATGATACCAAAGTTTTTCCCCATTCAGAATCCCCGCTAGATCTAATACTGTTATTGCCAATAGTTTCCGTTGTGAACGAGGCAAAACCGGTTGGAATTTCGATAAGCATAATAAGGAAGCTTTCCGTCGGATCTGTTGTAGCAGAACGGAAGTTTTAGAGGTGGTTTCGACGTTGGATGGATGCACCGGTTGGTGGTGGTAACAGGAAATCTCGCAGCTGAATAGGAAGCGGAGAGAGGAGGAGATTTCGGTGACGCCGCCTCAAGTGTAGGTGAACCTGTGGAGGAACTAGATCCTGATCCGGAGGCAGAGGCGGTGGAAGGAGTTTGAGAGCATTTCTTTGGAACGGAGAGAAACGCTCTGATTTTGAGAGATGACGATTGTAACGAAGCTGCTCGATCATATTCTTCAACGAGATTTACAAGATCCTCATCGGAGGTGATAGAAACAAGCGCATCTAAATCCTCCGTCGGCAATTGACACCTCAAACTCACCGGCTTCCCGCATAATTCACCAAGTTTCACCATCAATTCTGTAAATCACAAGTAAATTTTCACTCCAAATCCTCAATTCACACAATCAAACTCTAATCCATTCCAATCCAATCCAAATTACAAAATCAAAAATGAAACCAACCAGAGAACGAGATGGAACGGACAACCGCAAGGACGCGTGTTTGGCCACCGTGATACCTAAGCTTGCCGTCCGGATACCGAGGGAGGATCCTTCCGCCGTAACTGCACAGCAATTTGATGGTAGCGGTTGCCGGAGGCTTGGGAGCGTTGAGAGAAGGTCCCACCATTGTTGCTTTGGTTTAACCAGATGAAGATTTTCAAGTGTGTTTGCTTGTTCAAGCCTAAGCATGGTGCCATTGGCACCGTATTTATACAAGTTTTCTAGGAGAAGTTGCGTATGGGAAGGGGTAGTGGGCCCCACACTGGGTCGGGTCAGTTACTCCAATAACAGTTGGGCCCTTTTTTGTGGGGTGTAAAGTTGAAAATACCTTTTATAATTCCTAAATGGATTTTTCCAGATATAAAATCTCTTGATCCAAATAAAATGACATTTTCGCTATAAACGTTTAGCGAATCGTTCAATGACTCCTTCCGTGTGAATTTCGTTTATTTAATAAATAAATAATTGAAAATAAACATGGTTTTTTTTTTCGTTTAATCAAATAAATAAATATGAATAATAAACGTTCACATCCGTTCGGTTCATTTACGTTCGTTTGTTGATGTTCATTTATTTATGTTTGTTTATGTATATGTTATAAATTAATATGTAAATTCATTAATTAAACTAAAATTTATAAAATTCTTTTTTTATCCATTCTAAGTTTACTCGGTTTTTCATTTGATTGTTCTATTTTTTAGGAACAAAATGATGAATAATTGTGGTTGTTTTTTTTGTTCATGGTGTTCGTTCGTATAACATCTCACCAAACTGCTATATCGAAAAAGAATACGTCCACGTAAGAGAACATAAACGAATAAGCATATTTTTTCCTAATAAACGAACTTAAACACACACAAAAAAACCATTTATTTATCGGTCGTATTCATTAGTTTATTCGGTTAAGGGGCCGTTTACCAAACACTTATCCGAGTAAGCGCTTACCACGTCACGTTACCTCACCGGATGAATATCATAAGAACCAAGAATCTTACCCGGTAAGAGCGAGACAATGACCAAGAGTCTTACCCAGTAAGTGAGGGCGACAACTCTTAACAAGGTAAACGTTTACCGGGTAAATTTGTTGCATACGATGTCGTTTTGATGAACAAAAATCTTACCTGGTAAGTAAATAATAATGTTAAATTATACCGATAAGTGTTTATCGAGTAAGTGTTTAATAAACGACCATAAATTAAATGAACAAACACAAAAAAACCTCTGTTTATATTCGTTCCGAATTGTATGCTTTTCAATAGCACTTGTACATTGGTCTTTATTTGGAGAATTTTGAATTGGAAAAGTGATTACTTTTTCTTTTTCTCCGGGGTCATGGGATATGGGGCAAACTTCACCTTTTTCACTTTTTTAAACCTCTTCCAATAGAAATTCCCAAATTCTATAAAAATAATAAAATAATTATTTTATCGTTTTCATGCACGTTATCGTCTATGACCATAAATATTCCAACCTTTTTTTTAAATAAATATGCATATTTATTATAACACTTTAATCTCGAGGTATTTGTACATAGTGGTTGCTATCATATACGTATTAGAAATCGAAAAGAACTGCATTATTGCTCTCGATACAGTATGCATGTCAAGACCAACATTATTGTGCATACAGTAATCAACACATGGACTGTCGTATTCACATGGCAGTCTCTGTTGCTATTGTTCAAGTAAACCCTGTACGCGAATGAACTAATACGTTAACAACAGATTCCCATGTATTTCAAAACATGAATCAGATACTTAGTTACTTACACAGTCGCATGTTTATCATTCACTATACAAACTAACATGAATATTATACGTACCATTCAGTAAAATATTGTTTCAGATCCAGATAAAAATAGCACATGAAACTCGTATGAGGTCTGCATTCCTAAATATCACTTGTAAAACTAATTGGTCTCTACCTGAATAAATGAATACTCATAATATTAACGTAATATTATTACTGCATACAAGCCTAGTAGCTTTCCAAGTTAACTCATGATTCATATGCTTAAATTTAAACCCGAATGTAACATTTGTCATGAATGTGAAATTAATGTCTTAGTTTCATATTTAACGATTTAAGACTTACATAAATACTGATTTCTTACTAACATTGTATCTGAACCATAAACACTTTATTACCATAATTATATTTATTAATTAATTCAGTTTTAAATATAACAGTTCAGGGGTTACGGCTGTCAAACTACAAGTCTCCTAAAAGAGCACGAACACTTCACCAGATCCAACCAACCCCATGACCTACACTGTTTACTCATTTACGAGACTCATCGTATCTAGTTCCAACCAGACAATTAATATACCATAGGCTTCATAAAACATAAAAAAATAGGAAGAAAAAAAAATAGTGTTTTTATTTCTAAAATTTGTTGGAGTGAAATATGGTTTTATTTAAGGATTTTGAGTTATAATTCTTACTTTGAATAAATTACAAAAAAAAACCTCTTGGAAAATTCAGAAGTATTTTTGGAATAACAAACAATAAAGCATGTTTTTTCAATACATATGATCTTTGAGCATAGAAACCCAATATCTTTATCCTAAATAACATATGTATGGTCCAGATTTGGGTTGTTTAGAACAGGAAATGGGTAAGATGTATGGGCCCCAATCTGAATGGATAACTGTATATGTACCGCCGCCACACCGGATAACCCCCCACCTTCCCCAATTTATTTTCATTTTCATTTTCTTATATAAAAAAAATAGAGTAAGTTCACTTTTGTTCCTGAATTTTAACGGTTTTTGTCCCACTAACTTTATTTATTTATATTTGTTACTCATGTTTGTCAACCGTCAAGGAATTTTGTTCTTTCTTTTAACGATCGTTAATTTTTCCGTTAAGTCCAATTTAATAAGGAGTATTTTAGTCATTTTACTTGTTTTTCTTAACTTTCTTGTTTTTACAAAACCCATCAAACTTTAGGGATCTGTTATGTAATTAACTCTAACTAACACACACACACACATGCATATAGATTATAGAGTTTGACCCCCGTTTACACATAGGACCATCGAACAAGAGGAGATGGGGATCATCGGCGGCCAAACAAGGACGATCCCACCATCATGACCCCATCTCCTTTGATGTAAGCAGCAGCAGGGAAGATGATGTGCGGACCATCGTTTATACAAGGACGATCTGCAATTTGTTTACACACAAGGACCATCTCCTTCAGTTTGCGAAGCAACAGGGACGATTCTTCGGTTACTTGAAGAAACGAGCATCATGGAGTTCATAACAACGACCAATAGGTGAGTTTTCGGTGAATTTTCTCGATGAGTTTTCTGGTACGGTTGGCCTGAAATGTTACAAATGGTATCAGAGTTGAGAACCGAATTGTACCAACGAGGTTAGGCTCACAAGAGAGGAGTGAACTGTAAAATCTAAAGTCTGTGAACAAAACGGACAATATTTAGTGTATATATAAATCGATACAAAAACCTAAAACCACAAAAGGCACCCCTAGTGGAATGTCTAATGTGATCTCTTATCCTATCAACATCCAACCATTTGCTTACCTCATTCACCAAATCAAATTCAATCATTAAAATATATATTTTTTAACCTATTTTATTTAATAATATTTTAAAAAAAAAATTAATATTGTTGTCTTTTATCTAAAAATGTCACACTTCCTTGTGATCACATAAATTAACCACTTTATACTCTTTTATCTTTTTTGGCCACATCATAATTCTCCTTATGATTAACATGATCCCTTTTTACATATTTATATATATTTATTTTATAATCTACATATTCCTTCTTTTATAACTATTTAAAGTTCTTATCATATTTTTATAGGTTAAATCATATAAAAAAATAACGTACTTTAATTTAATTCTTATTTTGAACAATGTATTTTTAGAACTTCCTTAGTATCTAAGAGTAAAGTTTTAAACATTTAAGTATTCGGGTAACCGGTTACCCTACTGATGTGGTGCGTGATGTGGTATCCAACTCACTATTATTTGCTATTCAACCCATTTTCATCTCATCACTCGCCACATAAGCATGGTAACTGGTTAATACTTCAACCGATTATCCGGGTACTTAAATGTTTAAAACGTTACATCTTAAGTACCAAAATGAAAGTTTTGAAAAAACGTTACTCAAAATATAAATCCTCTTATATTTGATTTTTGACTAGATAAAAAGCAAAAATCGGTAAAAGGGCAAAAATACTTCTTATTTGACGGAGTTTTCTAATTGTCGTCCGATGGGGTGATTGAATCTGGACATTTTTACAAACCACAATGATCATCTTGTAATTCCAAAACTGTCGGAAAAAGAAAACCATTTTTGGCAAAGTAAAGGGACCAATTTTATAGCTTACTCTATAATTTATAACCAAAAAAATCATATATTCACAAAATTAAAAAGAAAAATAAATAAAATAAAAATGTCGTTTTCTTGAAATTATCATGAAGAGGGAAAAGGATGAGATGAGGAGGTCCCTATTGGTGATGTCTTGTGGGTCCCACACAAGGTGGCATATCCTATTATTCTTTTAATCGCCATGTTTTATTTTTTTGTATTTTTGCTGTTTTCAACTATTATTTTGATCGTTTCAAAAGAACTGTTAAATTTTTTTATTATTTTTTTAAAATAAATGTTTTAATTAAAAAAAAAAAGAGTAAAATTTTAAATTTTTCCACAATTAATTATATGTTTTAAAAATTATTAAAATAGTTAAAAGAACTTTGTATAATTAGCATTTTATTAATTAAAAGTGTAATAACTGAGAAATAAAATAAAACAGTCATTTTCAGGATTTGAGTTTATTTGTTAGTTATTTTTCTACAAATAATTTAAATATGTCACTACTTTCACAAATAATAACTCTTTAACTTTTGGAGGAGTCAAAATTGTAACAAAAATGAAAGTTTTTGAACCATGTCCATAAGTAAATGGACCAAATTTGTAAATTAGTTCCACACTACTTATAGACCTGTATTTAATTTACAGATTTGGTCCATACATTTGCAGACCTGGTTTAGAAACTTTCTTTACATTTTGATCGCTCTACAAGTTAAAGAGTCATAGGTATTGATATTTTTAAATTATTAAAAGAGAAATGGTTAAAAGATAAAACTATAATATTGTTTATTTTATAATTTTAAAACTGTATGAACAAAAAA